GATCACTACAGACTCTAACTCCACACCTGCATAAATAACACAGCCAAATATTCAGCTGCCCAGTGTAATATTTAATGAAATTCACAAAACGGATGAAATGGTGCTACAAAGACATGAAAAACAATCAAAAAGCATCAGTGCAGAACAGAAATGGATATGTTCTAGTCTGGAACATTCATCATTCCAAAAGGGTATTTCATATTCTGTAGACTGAATGAATTTTAACCATGAGCACACTGTTAAAAGGTCAGTGCACATGAAAAAAACAAAACAAAACAAAACAAAACGAAGCCACATTTCTATATTTTTTTTAACTGTGTTTAAAAAAGAATCCCTACTCATTTTCAAAATAATAAAAAGGCAGGAGGATACAAAGGAAGTTTGGGAGTTACACTTCAGTTTTATGAATATCTGTATTCAAATAACTACGGCATCCACATAAATAGCTAATTCCCCTAGTTTCTGAGCAAACCTGTATAATGCTTTCTTATTACAAGTAGACTATAAGGAGACATATCTTTAGAAAGAGCAAGAGAACATTAGTGATTTCAGCTGTTGTTGAGTTTGTTGTTTGTTTTTTTTTTTCTCAAATCTTTCCCCAGAAACATTCCCCAAGATATATTGATTTCTTGTTGAATGCTGTCAACTTCATCCACCTCACTGGCTTTATTTGCTAGCTCTCTAAAACAAAATTGTTCAGAAGCAGTGGTCGTATTTTCAGCTATACTGATGTTTTGGAGTATTTCCTTTGAGACAAAAATTGTTTTGAAATGAGCTTTCTGATTACTTTAAAAGCCTCATGGTGGAGTTAATCTGACAAATCATATCATTCTAATGAACACATCTAAAAATGAGCAGATATGTTGCAATCTAAAAATCTCTATTCCCACAGGCTACCATAAGCTGAAGCTGCTTGGAAAAGATTGTTGTTACCACAAACACAGCCCTTACACTGCTGGGGCAAACACCACTTTTGGAGCACAAGCTGGGCTCTCCATGTTGCATCATGCTGTGGTTTTTGAAATTGCTGCTCACCCAGCACTACCTCATATGCTGCTGCAGCATGACACGGCATTGTGCCGTAGAGGAGCTTGATGTGGCCTTTTCTGCTCCTGTGAATTACAGTAAGGGATGCAAAAATGTACTTCCATCCCTCTGGTGGCTGTTGTGAAACTAGATCAGCCAGTACCTAAAAAATTATTAGAACATTAAAAGCACTAACAAATGTTCATTATTTTTTGCAATTGCAAATTAATGTGGTAAGTAACACATTTAAGCAGAAGAAAATCCAGTAAATTAAATCCTGATGATTTGTATGTCTGCAATAAGGTGGAATATTTCCATTACCTGATTTTGACAAAGTCTGCAGTGCATTCTTCAAATTCTGATCAATAGCACCTTTTAATACAGCTAGCAAATTAAAATGCAGAAAATGATCATAGTCCATTTATCATGCCCATTCATCTGCAAATCTCATCTTACTACTGGGGAGAGAAGACAGTAGTTTCAGCTGTTTATTACTGTTAATATTACTATTATTATTATTAATGCGACATTATTATGTGTTTACAGATATGTTGGAAATTCATGTTGAGGGCATTGGCTGAGTGTGATTTTTCAGAGCTAAGGAGAAAAAAAAGTCAGCATGAACTATGTATGTGATTTTGCTGGATGTGCTGAATTTGAAACAGCTCTCAAAACTGACCAGATATTCTGAGGGTTGATAATATACACACATGCACCCACATTAAATGTAATCCTAGACTGTACTTCAAATACAGTTTTTCAAGTATGTGCAAAAACATTCCTGAAGCCATAAAATTCTGCATTTGAACTAACTAGCACTGCAAGTAATACAGTTTTGTTTCAATGCAATTTGTCATCTATTGCTATTGGGCATGTCTGCTGAAACAAGTCATGCACTGTGGCTCTTTAGCCAGTAGATATACTGAAACATCAATTCTGACTTTCTGAAATTTCCATAGACCTTTCCCCTCCTCCAGTTAAACCTGCTTTTTCTGGGTAAGAATCTCAGGAAACTAGGAATTGGGCAGCCAATGCTTCCATGCTCCAATTGCATTTAGCTATGTCAAATCCTGTACTTCTGCATAGCAACTCTCAGTTCAGCAAATTATGAGCACATGCGCACAAAAGCTTAACAATGTATTTCCTGGTTCAACATTACATGACAGTCATATCTCATTCCAGTGCTGTTAAGGTGCATCATCCGAAAAGGGCAAAGCTGTTTGACAAATGGGATTATAGTGATGGATTAGGTTGATGCTTGGTAAATATGTTCAGAAATTGTAAAATGTTGATTAACTTATGGCTAGTAGCTTCACCTGACATTGCTAGCTCTGCCATTTTCCTGCATAGTGTTAGTCAGTTAAATTATTTCATTAAAAAATAAAAATCATAGTAATTCATTATTAGCAGTGAAAGCATCACCCAAAGATAAGACTTGTCAATTGTGGCTTCATTTGTGATAAATTCTCATGCTAATAGGACATGAATTCTCCTTTAAAAACAATAATTTGGGGAACTGAACAGGATTCCAGGACTGATAGGCATTGCAGGCATCCTGCTAGGTTACAAATGTAGAAAAGCTCACTTTCAGTGACTCTTATCTGGACAGTACAGCTTTCAAAGGCATTTGTACCTTCTGGACCCAGAGATATAAAGTTGCATTAATAGCTTCAGCTTTACTGCTCCAAGGCAGACTAAGGGAATTAATGGACTTTTTAAAAGAGTAACTGGCTGGCTGCATTTTGAGAAAAAGAAAACTATATTTTCTTCTCCAAAAATTTAAAAAAAAGAAAAAGAAAAAAGAAAAACTCCTTAAATGTATCAGTTAACTCAAGCACTTCCTGCAATATGACTGCTTTTTGGGCATCTGGATGTAGGCAATTTTTTTTACCTATTTCATAAATCAATTCTACATAAAGAAATGTGTTTTATTCTGCAGAAAATTTGAGTATACACTAAAGGCCTATTTTGATACATACAAGGCAGGAATTTCACTGCAGGCTAGCACTCTTCCAACTAGATGTCCCGACAGAGTCTGAGATACAGTAGTTTGTACCAGGTGGTGATAATCTCACTGACAACAGAAAAGTGAGAGGAAATTAAGAATTTAGTACAAGAGATCCACACGATCACTTTGTTTTCATCAGGCAGCAGGGCAGAACTCAAAGGTTTTGTTGTTTCTCAATAAATGTCCATAAATTAGAATCTTCTGGTTTTAGCCATGTTCCACTCTCAAAAATATATCCGTGCAACAGATGCTGCTATATTCATAACCTTCCCAAATCCACCTGACTTTGGAAGACTAAATCTATTCATGATCACACACGTGATCTACACATGATCTTATTGTCTAGTAAAACTGAATTATGAGAAATAATACAAATGATGTCAGACAAATATGATTCTTAATTATATTTCTAATTTGACCACTTCATGCACATACAAAATACATCAAACTCATAATGAAAAGAAGCAGACAATGCCCCCCATATGTACAAAGAAGCATTTTAAATAACATTGTGTATGAGCACATTTGAGCGTATGCTTCCAAAATACTTTACTGTCTGTCTTTCTCTTCTTCCATTGATGTTGTAGCACTCTGAAAAAGATCTTTTAGTTGTGAATACTCAGTCAATCAGGGAAGTTGCAAAGTGCGAGCTAGAAATTTAAACTTTTACTAAAAATTTAATGGAATTCTCTGTATGTAACCACTAAAGGGATAGGGATCTAAAATACACACATTAAATCAGGAATCCTGATTTGCATATAACATCCTGATTTCTACCTGAAATCTCAGAATGAGACATAAAGTCATATTTTTTTCCATCAGGCTGAGATGCTGTTGTTCTTTATTCTTACAGTCCATTAAAGGTACATTTGGCACCAGATACTAACAAATTAATAAGAAAAAAAAGGTAAAATATAACTCCCATTACTACTGAAAAGAAGTGGGCTTCATAACTCATCAGAAGATATCAGTAGTGTTTTAGCAGTTTTCAAGCCAGGGATGCCAGAGTAAATTTTACAGTGGATTAAATATAAATTAGAGATGCTTATTCTGTGTCCTCTCTGTCACAGTCTTTAGTGCTAAAGTTTTCCATGTAATTGTAAAGAAATAGAGATACTAACTGCAGCTAAGTTCCATTAAACTGCCACTGAAAAGTGAATTTAGCCAGTCTTCTGTATCAGATCAAAGTTAGCAACCTTGCACGTTCACGAAAGGCAATGCACAGTGTCCATTCCCATCTCTCAGACAGGCAATCTAGTTAAACAAAGTGCAAACTTTCTGATAAATTGTTTTCCTTAAGATAACTGGCTGATGGAAAGGCTTGTTTGCTGTTTTATGAGCACTTGTGGCAGTGTGCACACAGGCTCTTTCCAAACTCTGGGACAGTCAGTTTCCAGAGGGGGCACAGCAATGCTCCCTACTCCTGCTCTGAGACCCTCTCACACAGTGCTTGGAGGGCACTGCATCAGCGTCCATCCACTGCATCAGCAGAACAAAGCTAGCAGATCTCTGTTCTCCAGGATGTTAATTCTCATTAATTCAAAGTTCTGCTTTCTGATCAGAAGCTGAAGCTGTACGTGAACCTCATTACAGCTGGTGAATCCTTTGTATATTTTTTTGGCAGCATCAAAATCTGTAACAGCTTGGCTATTTACTCTACTGGCGTCATGTTTCTATTTGAGGAGTTAACTCATTTTTAACTCATTTGTGTTTATAACTTCCCTATTTTTCCACTAATTTATGTATTTCTTTCTATATATGCAGCCCATTTTGTAATATCAGATTTTCCAAGTAGTGAACTAATATATTTTCTGCATTTTATGCAGCTGCTTTTGGGCTCAAATAAAAGTATGCTTTTTTTCTTTTCTTTTCTTTCTTTCTTTCTTTTTTTTTTTTTTAATGTTTATTTGTTTGTTTGTTTGTTTCATTTTTAGGAAAAGTCTTGAAAGTCCTAGATTGTAAATAACTTACTTCTTTGATCTCCTCTCCTAGTATCAAGCACAAGAGCAGAAAAGCAGCTCTTTTGACCAGAGATCATGCACCAGGAAAGTTTGCCTGGATCAGACTACGAAAAGCAGCTGCATAATGCTGTTTCTGTTTCATTCTACTTCCTAACTTTGTATTACTGCATTTAATCCCAAAAGTACTTTAATGACATAAAGTATTACTTTAAATGCTGTCTTTTCAGGATGAGTGACTTCCAACACTACCTTCTAAATCTGTGGATTTGGCACATGGAGAGAAGAAGTATATGCTGAAAACAAACCAGCTGTGGATCTAGGAATACTTCTTAGCTACACATGTTACTTGAGACAATATATAATACCATCAGATTTGCTCTGTTTAGCCACAAGAGGGCAGTCGCTTAATTTGTGTTGTTATTAAGGCAATGTCCGTTTTTAGAGACAAGATAGGCTTGTTTTCTATCTAAGCCATTATTCCAACATTTTGTATAGATGCGTTGAAGAATTTCATTCTCTTTGTGTTCCCAGCATGCATTTGACTTACATTAAGTTACTAGGTAATATCATTTAGCCGTGACAGTACACTGTGCTTTATAAATAACTGATGAGACAAATAATGGTGGGAAGTAAATACGGTTTCCCTTCATTATCTTTAGAAATAGCAGGACACCATATTAACAAATCTCACTGCTCTCAGTGATGAATTTGAACTGGTCACAATCAAAATGTAAGATCTTAAGACATGCTGCTTTTAGAACTATGAGAAACTTGTGAAAACAAGGAAAGATACATGTTCTATATTTCACCCACTCGTGAATGCTTATTTGAATTTACTTAAATATGCCATCATATGCAACAATATACAGCACAAGCATGGTCCACACAGGAAACTGATTCAAGCACTCAAAGTCTGAAGATTGTCACACCCTTCCTAAAGCAAAACTCTGATTGCATTCACCTACTTAGAAACAGATAAAATTTTGTGTAAAATGCTTCTAAACAGTCATGAGTGTACAGTATAACTTACCATAGTATATTTGTTTTCAGTCCTGATATTTTATACATATAAACCTGTTTCGTGTACCAAAACCAAACTGATTTTTTCCCTCTTACTGAAGTCCAAATAAAATTTTGCCCAGAAACAGAAGATGGATTTTTGTCCATCAAGAGTCAGCTATGTTCCTGGGCAACCGGTAGTGCTCTGGCCTGATCCTTGCCTTCTTCTCCTGAGGACCGGCATATTTCCACTTGGATGGAGACATTTTCAGCTTTTTTCTCTTCTTGTCTGTACACCAGACTTTTTCACAGTATTCCTCCACTCTCTGGAAGTTGCTGTAACCTATCAGTTGAAGAAATTCTTTGTACCATGGTTTAGATACCTGAGGTATGTTGCTCTGCACTGGGCATGGCATTTTGTGAGATATCTCCTCCTCATAGTCTTTATTGAACATTTCATCTACACGTTCTTCCTCGACTATTTCCAGGGTGATTTTTCTAACAGTGTGAACTATGCTGTGTTCCACTGTCTGACAAAAATAAGTCCCTGCATCAAGCCGATGCAGCTTCAGAAATAAGAGGCCAAGGTCCATTTTGATTATTCTATCATCTGTCTTCACCTAAAAAGAGAGATAGTTGCACAGAGGAGAGTGTGTTATTGCATTACATTGGTGCATTTTTTTTTTTTAATGAAAAATCCTTCCAGGAATATATATTAAATGTTAAGAGGTAGATTAAGGATCCAAGACCCTTTATTTCAGAGTTTGTAAGCAAATAAAATATTTACTTGAAGAAGAAGTTGAGCTGTGAAAGGAAAGCAGTCTACAAAATCTGGCAGGCATGGCAGAACAGACAGTGGAACAGACAGTTTTCTGCTTTCCCAGCATGGGTTAGTCATTCGTGGCTAAATCACAGAAAGAAGTTAGGTTGAAACATTCAAATGAACTTCCGTATGGAAAACACGTGGGCTTTTGCCAGCTGACCTGCCATAAGTATCCATGTGAATGCTCTTTTAAATTGTGAAATGTTTTTGAAGCAGCACTCGCAGACATTTTCAGATCATAAAATCACAGAATCACCAAGGTTGGAAAAGATCTCCAAGATCATCCACTCCAATTGTCCACATATCACCAATATTTCCCACTGAACTGTATCCCTCAGTACAACATCTAAACGTTTCTTGAATGCCTCCAGGGTCAGTGACTCCACCACCTCCCTGGGCAGCCCGTTCCAACACCTGACCACTCTTTCAGAGGAATTCTTCCTAACACCCGACCTGAGACTTCACTGTAGGACCATTGTGATCTTGAAGCTTCAGTTCTGGGTGTAATGTTGGAATTCCCCTTGCAGCTTCTGAGAATTAAGTTATTAAATTCAGGGCATTCAGACATGCTGATATGCGGGGAGCAGAGAGCTGTCTGAACCAGCCAGGAGAAATGCCCTACAGAATGAATCCTCATCTTTCTATTTAACAGTAAGATGCTGAATATTAGGTAGAAGTACTTCTCTCTGCTTGGGATCATCTTTTTCTAATGACAATAGAATTATTCATGTAAAATGGAATAAATATAAAAGAAAAGCATTAAAATAAATTCATCCTACTAGTATAAAAATGTACTGAAAAATTAGAGTCTGAATTTACACTTGTGTTCCTTAGTAACTGAGGTGCTAGGTCTAAAAGGAAATATGACAACATCTCGTCTTCCTACCTCCTCAGTGAAAATTCTCAGGTTTCACTAAAGACTGAAAGACCAGGTCTTTTTATTGTAAGAATAATTATGATTAGTGGATTGGGATCTTCTAGGAAAATACATGGGGAAATACAAAATGTGAAGAACTATGCTGGGATTTGAGACTGAAACTTCAGGAAGAAATGTGTTTTATGGTGACCACTTCATTTTCAATAACTACAGCTGCATGTGGCATCCTTTTTTACGTTTGTATTCAATGGCTTGCCTCGTCAATGATGAAATGAAAATGTCTAGTTTAACATGATATGATACTATGGGCTATATTTGCAACAAAAATTGCTCTGACATTGACAACAGCCTACAAAGACTAGAACTCACTTAGATCTCTTTATTCTAAATGTCCACATTCACTATCTGATGAATCTTACTCCTCAGACTCAGTCTGCTGATGAGCTGAGGGTCTCATGTTTGCAGCAGAGCCTAGCTGCTAGGCAATAAGGAAAACAGTCATACCCTGTGATAGTCCAAATTTTTTCTCCTATGTGCTTCCATATACTAAACAAGGTTAGCTACACTGACATGCATCATGGAGGTACTAGAGAATTATATATGGTAACAGTTATGAAGTTATGAATTATCACAGAATCATAGAATTGTTTGAATTGGAAGGGACTTTTAAAGGCCATCTGGTCCAACTTTTACAATTGGGCAGCATATATAAAAGAAGCAGAGAATCACCAAAATCCATTTTCAGAAGACTTTGCTATGTAATGGGTGGGGCAACAAGAATTAACAAATGCTAAGCAAGTCTAACATTGGGAGTAATATGTCACCTATGCTATAACATATTAAGAGAAATGGTAAATTCCCTTTTGTTTTGAGACCTTAACAAGTTTAGCTACATTTCAAATATTTATTCAGTTATTCAATTTCAAGATGCTGAACTCATGCACCAAATGAAATTACCAGGTCTATTAACTCAGTGGAACATAATGACTCAGATGAACATCATGTTCTTCCCTTATACTCATGCACATTTCAGCAACTGATGACAGGCCTCTCAGTGAAGATGCAGTGTTCCTAACCATGCGCTCAACTAATTAAAAGATTAGGATTTAATGATAGTTACCTCTTCCTTCTTAGTTTCATGGGCTCGCTGGACGAACCAGATTACTTTTGCCTGTAAGGTTCGAGGGGTGCACTCCAGAAGGGTGCTGTTGTACTCTATTCCATAAACCAATCGCTCCTCAGTCTTCTCCAAGACTTCTCCTGGAGGAAAATGTTTTAAAAAATACATCATATATATGTCAATTTGTTTCTGACAGTCCTTGCCACCTTCTGACTTCAGGCTAGACTTACTTTTAAGACTGAAATTTAATCTACATCCACATAGTTATTATTAAGTAGCACCTGGTGAAAGTCTGACTTGCTAAGTGAATTTTCCCATCATCTCAGACTCTCATAGAAGATGGCCATAAAGTAAGTGGAGCAAATTGGGCCATGATTTCACACACAAAGAAACAGATCTCAGCCCTTCATACTGCTATTTGCTTGTGGCTGTTTCTTATCAGTTATTCTACTTGATTTTCAGTCAGTTAAACAGGAGGATATCATATATGCTCAAGTATAACCACAAATTAAATATCTTTTATCTGGATAAAAATGACAACGTATAGCCTTTTGGCAAAATCTGTACTTTCTGTGCCAGGCATTTGATAATAGTTTGTAAGGTGTGAGTAGATTACCAATGAACTGCTGACCAAAGCACTGCTGAGCTGCATTGCCATGTCGTACATCTTGTCTGCGGAAGCGTCTGGAGAGAAAAAATAAAATTCCTTGAGAAAATGTGTTTAGCACACAGATTGTTGGAGTATAATAAGGAGTTATTCATTAAAAACATGAAGAGCTTTGTTCCTAAAAACGTACACTTTTGAGAAAGATACTCATTTATGCATTGCTGTTTTATCTCAACCTATATATGATTGCATCTATAAGAAAAAAAAAAGATCGTCCAACAGCTGAGGCTTTTAAAGTTCAGCTAGACAAGGTGTTAGACAGTCTTGCCTAGGTCCTGCACTTATCATGAAAGGTAAGATGATCTCAGAGGCCAGTTCCAACTTGGGCATTCCAAGGATTCTATGATTCTTTGTTTCAAAACAACTGTAAATGAATACACACAAGGCAGATTTATTAATAGGCACAAATAGACTTTACTGAAATTATTAGGACCTCCTTCTATTTTATGATGTTGACCCACAATGTCAGAGGTGGGTATTGGTGGTATGAAAGTAGAGGTCAACCTTCCTGCCAGTATTCCATTACATTTTGTTGCTGTGAGACAGATGACAGCAGAGTGTTAAGTGTTAGTGAAGCCAGCTTTGCATATCAGTGTATATAGACTATACATAAAACACATTCTTTTGCACAAATATGCATAAATAAAATTGGCATTAGCCTCGCAAAAAACAAATAAAGAAGAAAACCTCACTGTGAGGCAGCACTGTTCAGTAGGAAATGGACAGTTAGTAGGTATGTAGTAAGTACTCTTCCTGATGAACTAAAAAAAATCCTAGTCCTGTAAAATAATATTTCTCCAGTTGTTGGAACCATTCAGGAGAAATAAATATTTCTTTGGTGGCATTTTGGTGGAGATGAGGGAAGATGCATTTACCTGTACCTTCACTTCAGTGCTGTTTCAAGAGTAGGAAGGAATGGGGAGCAGTGACAACAGGGTGTCAACAGAGTGACATTTAAGTTAGCACCCAGATCCTCTCAGTGCAAAGCATTTTACTCGAATGACAGCATATAATTTAAGGCAAGACAATTTAAGATATTTTTCAAGGCATTATAAGTAGAAACTTAAAAAAACAATGCTTGAAATATTCTTTTGCTTATCAGCTTGACCAGTGCTGTGAAAGGAAAACCACATTGCAGCAGCAATACGGAGACTTAGGAAGAATACTTGGGGTTTTATGCACATCACACGAGGGTCAGTACGTCACGGTCACTACAGCGCGCAGCCCCGCACTATGGCGCCCTCTGGCGGCTGATTGCAATTAGTGCAAGGAGCTGAGTGTTAATGCGTTAGAGTTAGCAGATCTACACAAGGTGAACGGAATTTATTTTAAGATAAAACCCTTTTCAGCCCGGACATTTTGTTGACGTAGTGACGAAGCTCATCAGTGGAACTTAGTGCTTGTTTGGATAAAAACTGAACCTGCCTAAATCAGATTACTGAGGTAACAGTGAACTAACAGAGCTATTTAAATCCTGGAACTCTCTGCTTTCCAAAGAATATTTCATTGAAGTTGAATGCAAAATAATTTTCTTCTGGCATCTAAAATATCTGCAGCATGCCAGAATCTCTCACCTGTAAGTACTGTGACAGTATTAGTGTAGTATTCTGCGCTGCCAGCATTGCAATATGGGACTCTTAGCTCAGTTTTTAAGTCTCCCTGATTAAATACCATATTTAGTTAATTATAAAGACTATGCATTTGAAAGGAATTAAAATATAGGCTTTCAAAATCAAACAAATTAGTACCAGCTGCCAAGCACTGGGTTGCTTATATGTTTTGTGTTCTGTTGTTTTTTTGTTTTTTAAATTTCTGCTGCAGTTTTCTATATCCTGCACGTGCATTAGTTTACAAGTTTTCTATTTCATGCTTCTCTAAACACTTATCATACCTTGCAGGCATTAAGGTCTAAAGCAGAGAGCATGTTCACTTCAGTTCAACACCAGTAAGACAGGAATTAAAGAGATCTCTTAGTGCTCTTAACTGCTCTAGCAAAGGCTGCTCTTACAATTCAGAAGCCCACCCTACATAACTTGTGTGAAAATCTAAACCAAACTCTAAGACAAGGCCAAATCAAATTAAGAAGTGCCTGCTGTTCAGTTGTGTCTAGAGCAATGGCAGGGTTGTCACCTGAGCAAATGATAACTCTTATAACTGAGGAAGAGTAAACTCCATGTTGTCTCATGAGACCTTCCTAGCAATGGTTCCACCTGGATCCCAGCAGAAGGTAAATTAAACAACTTCTGTATGTGTGTCCTGAGGAGCTCTTTGCCTTGCCAGCTACTGCACAGCTCATAACTATTAAGATGTTCTGAGCTTTTGGCACTAGTTAAAGTGAACAAAGAAAATACTATCCATTCCTTTCAATATTAGGGGTCCTTGCTGGCTGTTCTCCAAACTCTTACATGTAAAACAAGTTTTACTGACCTTGAGAACATTCAATAGATTGTAAATCTCTTCTTTGCTTCTGTAGCTCTTATCTTGAGAGCAGGAGGGTGATAAGAGAAGTATTTTCTTATTTTAGACACTGATCTGATGAATGCTAGGGAGGTAAGGCACAGGAAAGTGCCTGGGGTGCTGCCCATATCACTGAGCTCTGGATAAATACTTCTGTCAGGGAACTTAGGGGCTGCTACTCTGGAAGTTGTCTTAGGTGAGAAGTATGCTAAAAATGTGCTAAAACTGAGTTAAGGAGTGAGCAAGTTTCTCTTATCTTTTCATGGACAATAAACAGCCTGCAGAATAACATAAATGTGGGTGCAGCCTAAGCAGGCTGGTAGGAAAGCCAGCCTTTTATCCCTTTACGCTCTTCCCCAGATGGTTTTTATGTCTTAGATAACTTACCCATAAGCATTATAATTAAAATAATCCAATTTATATATATACATTGGAGGACATAAATCTGCTTGGCCCATCTGCTCATCTTTCTTAATTTGATGCCAAGGTCTTCCCATATGGAGCAGGAAACCAGAAGCTATGTCCTCCCATAGGGCTGTTTGTAAAAGACATGAGAAGACTATATAATCCCGTAAAAGTGGCATAGCTTTCCTACTTGGTTTAACCTGTCCCTCAGTGTAATAACTCCAGGATATTTTTAAGTATGCTATCATTGGCTGTATTTCTCCTTTTGACTTTTTAATGCTCACTATTCAAAAAGCCATGCTATCCCAACAATTTCTGCATTTGGTATCTTTTAGAAGTGCTATGAAAACGTCTGGATTAAATTATACATGTTTTATATGTTTGATCAGGTATCTTTGTTGTTGAATTAGAGAACTTGGGTTTGAGAGTGAGGGTAAGATGATAGGTATATGGGAAATCACTGCACAAAGAATGAGGGCCAGAAGCCATAAATGAGCAATTCGGAATGGAGAGAAGTCTGCCCAGGGGTTGTTAAAGCACCCAAGTTAGGTTCATGATTTGAGTGGACCTCCAGAACAATCTGAATTTATAAATTCACCTAACCTCAGCTTTTGCAGACAGGTCACATTGTTTGTGTGGCTACCAGATTCTTATTCTTGTTTATTTTTCTTCTTCTTCTTTTTTTCTTTTTCCTAAATTTTGTTGAATATGCTATTGCTTTGTGATATCTTTACTGTATAAATACTGCCAAAATATGTCCCTGATGTCATAAAGAATGAAACATCCATCTTTTCTTTGTTGACTAAAAGAAATGAAAGGAAATCGAGGTTCGTTTAAACTTTCTTAAAATAACAACTAAGTAGTCATAATAATAACGTTTCATTTATGAATTCATAATAAATACATTTCATTCATGAATTATTCCTTGTAATGCAGCTTATGCCTGTTGTGGTTTAACCTGGCAGGTGGCTGAGCACCACACAGTTGTTCACTCACTCTCCCCCTTCCCAGTGGGATGGGGGAGAGAATAAAAAAAAATAAAAATAAAAAATAGAACTTGTGGATTGAGATAAAACTACTCACTAAGATAGAGAAAAGGAAAAGGATAATAGTTATGACAAATGTAAATAGCAAGTGATGCACAAGAAATTATTCACCACCCCCCCAGCTGATGTCCAGGCAGCCCTCTGAGCAGTGGAAGAGAGCTATATAAACTTCCATCCCTTTTAAAACTCCTGCATGATGTCATATGGTATGGAATATCCCTTTGGCCAGTTCATGTTAGCCATCCTAATTCTGTTCCCTCCCAGCTCCTTGGGCCCATCACTGAGAATGACCTTGGCTCTTAGCAGCAACTATAAACATTGATGTGTTATCAACATTGTTTTTCTCCTAGAACCAAATCATATCTGAAACTTGGAAGAAAAGAATTCTGTCCCAGCTGAAATTAAGACAATATCCACCCCTTATTCCATACTATTTACGTCATGCTCAGGTTCCACAATTTCTACACATCCTAACTAATTACCATGTCCTATCTTGTTTTTTATTATATATACACTCACATATTGTTCCCATACTCTATGGTTTATTCATGTAATTTGTCCATGGTACTCATTTAGTTCAAAACTTTGGGCTTCATCTTTTGTAAAAATCCTTTAGTGTATTAGGAACCATTCTAAAGCTATTTCACAAGACAGATTCCACAGAAAGAAGCAGTTCTCACCTCTTTGCCTGCATTCCTGTGGGGTAGTACCGGGAGCAGGAGATGCCATCCCAAGCACAGTAGGGATCTCGAGCCAGGCAGCAGTCAGCACAGGCTGTGCCATACATGTCACACTGGTGAAACTTCACTTGAGCTATGACTGATTCAGTTCCAATGTAGAGCTGTTGCTGGAAAAGTATACCACATATGATTAAGTTGCTAGAACTTCCAATATGATTTCTGTAATAAGTGAAGTTTTAAGGAAATATTAGTTTCAGCTTTGTTGTGCATCCAGCCTGTGCCCGGAGGGAGGCAGAGTTACTCTGTAGAAAAGCTGACAACATCTCATGCATGAGGATGGAGGAACAGAAGGAAATTAGAATGAACAAATATGGTTTGGCATTTCCTCGCTTTTGAAGTTTCAGCTTTGTAAGCTTTGTGTTTAAACAGAGACTTATACATTTCTTTTTCTTCCTTGAGGTAGTTTCCAGTGCCTCCTCCCTTACACTTCTGTCACCTATCCAATCTGCAAAAAAAGCTTGACATAAGATATTTATCAAAGATCATATTTGAAAAAGTTGTAAGCAATCTCAACCTTAAAACTGGAGTTATCAGGTACATTTAACTCTTGATGTACAATATGTTCACACAAACAAATGCACTGTAGCACTATGATTTATATAATCCTTCAGTACAAGGAATCTCGATATTTTTTCTGCTACTGTTCAGTCTTTTCTTATAAATAAACTGGTCATACTTTATCTTCATCACACTTTTTCTTTTTTTTTTCCTCAGCATTAACACTAAGAGTGCTTGAGTCATCTAAGTTTTCCTTTACAAAGCAAATGAAACATGATCAATGTGATTCAGAAGTTGATGGGAAATAAATTCAGAAAAGAACATCTTGAGTTTACAGGAACTTGAGAAAAATCTTGTTACTGGTGAGTGAAAATGGACTGAACACAGAAATATGCACTGCAATAGGAAATGCTTTTGCATGGCTCAATTCCACTGTTTTTCCAGTCAGAAAACAGATTCCTTATGAACTCTGGATGGGGTTTATCCAAATGGCCAAACAAAGCTTAAGTTCTCAAAATGCTTTTTAAATGCTTATTAAAATTGTTTAAAGCTGGAAAATGCAGTTAGCTCATTTAACCTGGCTTGCCTATCACAAACCATGAAATTTAATCCAAATTGTTAATTCTTGTCCCTGATTACACCTCCTCTGTATTTTAGGTTACTAATTTTAACTCTCAGAAATGCCAGTGGAAGAGGCCAGGAGAGGCTGGTAACAGCAGTGTTTGAATTCTTCTTCAGCTGAGATAATACAGATAAACAGGAACTCAATCTGATAACTAAACATAAGATCCTTGTTAGAGGGGAATTCTTTCTTGTCTTCCAAGGCTACAACGTGACTGTCCCAGAAGATGTGAACAGCACATTCAATGGCACATAAAAAAATGGATTTTTCTCTTTCATCTGTTAAAAAGAGTAAGATCTACTGTACAGCTTTTCATCAGAGGAGAACAAAAGCATCTGATATCTAGCAAACAGAACATCAGAGAAGAACATTCTCTCCTAGCCACAAAGATAAACAGCTCAAACCTGAAATAAGATATTTTATTATATCACTGACATAGTGAAGACTAGTGAATGTTATGAGGTTGTTGAAACAAAGCTAGCAAGGAGATCTCTAAAGGCTAGGCTTACAAACTCCACAGTTAAAGGAGACTAGAAAAAATATTTGGGCAGAGAAATTGCATAACTTTTTTTTTCACATAAACCTAACTAAATTATACTTCTGTGCACAAATCTAATATTAAATACAAAATGATTTTGTGCCAGCCCTTTACACGCATTCCAACATTTAATTTTCCTTAGTACCAGGAAACTGTATGCTATTTCTAGATTAAATTTGTCTATATTCAGAAATCTGAATTGACTTTTATTGCTTTGAAATCAATGTTCAAAGCCTTCCCCCTCCTTTGCTACAACAGCAAGTCACTAGGTTGAGTAAAATTCTATGTCTGGATGCCCAATTGTCTCTCCCTCTTCTCTTTAATATGTTGAAAAAGTACAGCTGTTTTTGCTGCCTGCAGGAACGTTTATTATTCAACCACTGAATAGTTTTTGGCGACTCTTCTACTGTTCTTTCCATAATTTCCAGGTGCCTCTTGAAATTGTAGAGTTAGCAGACTGCTTGGGAATTGGGTGTAATGGAGGCAGACTACTTCCCTTTTAATATAGTATCTCCTTCTCACTCTTCCAGCATGATCCATTTACTATGACATTTCATTGAGCGCAAATAAGGAAATATCTGAAATGATGCTTTTTTTCCAAGCTCCCTTCCAACTCAAACTATTCTGTGATTCTACAAAACATTCACTTAGTTCTAATGTTAGACAACCTCGTCTCCAGAGCTCCTTTCAAAGTCTATGTAAAAAATAAATTGATCCAGGAAATAATGCAGAAAAATAATTAAGTTAGGATCCTCGCCCAAATTATTATCAGGAGTTTGTCTTTCTACATTAACTACAAAAAAAATGCAAGCCACTAAAACTAAAATGACCTTTGGGGCACAATCACACCCCCTGTTAGAACAATCTTCCTTTGTCAGTTTTGTTTCACTGTATTTCTATGCACTTACATTGCAGTAGTTGTCTACATTAAGAAATAAGCATCCTGGGATGTTTATAATGGCTCCATCCTGAGATGGGTCCATATCTATGATATGGTAAGATGAGTATCTATTTACAAGAATAGTAACTTAAGTATTTGTATTAGGAGAGGCTAGCAGAAACTCTGAAGGTAGTCAGGTCCAAACAGCTCTGCCTTCATTGGCAACTGAATATATGGAACATCCAGTAAGGCTTATTTAGAACTTAGATTGCCGTAGGGCTGAAGTCTATATGCATTTATCAGCAAGGATCTTTTCCTTGAGTTGTCATATCCACCAAGCTAATCCCTATTGTGATTACTCTGCCAATCTCTCATCAAATCAAATTGCTTTTTTACTTGTTTTTGTGTGAACAGCACATGTAAAACACAGATACTGGTTTAACAGATTTAATCTTAGAATTGGAAAACATAAATGCTTCATAAAGGAACAAACCAGAACTTGCATTACAAAATGATTTGACGTTATCAGGCCAGACCTTGTTAGAGATTATGTGCAGCTATATCTCTATCTATCTATCTATCTATCTATCTATCTATCTATCTATCTATCTACCTACCTACCTACCTACCTACCTACCTACCTGTCATCTATCTAATGTTTAGAGCTTTATTACATCTGTGTTACAATTTTTGTATGTGAAACTCATCACTTACCCTTTTTGAAGAGATTTCCATGGAAATAATAGGAATTGGCACCTAGAAAATAGCAAACATCTTTGCTTAGAAAAAATAATGTGGCTTTACCATAAGAATAAATTAGGCAAAATAGCATTGATGTTTACTTGTATTCATCACTGATAAATACTTTGATTTTTTTTTAATTTCTGATCCTACAGAAAGATGTGAGGAAATTGTAGTTTTGGGAAGTACTGCTTTAAAACAGTTTATTTAAAAATGACAAACCAACACTTATTTCAGGATTATCAGTCACAGGAACACTACAGTTTTCCCATCAAACATAATATTATGTCATGCCATCACTGAACCAATTTTGTCCTAAATGAAAGTGATAAGTGGAATGTTCTTTATAACAAAACAAAATTGAAGATAAGATTAAAAATTACAGGAATTCCTTCTCACACTTTTCTCTGTCCTCTGTTCAGATTTCCTGGAGCAATAGCAAAACATAGCTCCTAATAAGTTTATTGAAAAAAACAGCAGAAAATGAAGAATTTGTTTCATAAAATAGACAATTAGAAAAATTATTGCAGGCAACCACTATGTAATGTCTATCACATTTTTTAAAATTTAACTGAAAAATTTTTAAGACAGTTTTAAATATGGTTCATATACAGCACAGTTCACCTTGAATACTTGCAGCTCTTCAAGAATCACTTCTTCCATCGATTCTGACTCTTGATTGTAAATTGTAATGACTTTCAGCACAATTCCATTATCTGGGAAGAAAAACAAACATAAAAATGCTGGAATAAAAAATATGGAAAATTTTATTTGGCCTTCAAAGACATTAAATAACTGCTACAGGACACACACATTAATCTTAGGAAATAATCACATATACTAATATGTTTCAAAGACATTGTGACATGCTCTGGCCTATCTGGCAACTAAGTCATCTGAGACATCCGTGAGATACACAATAAATTAGCTAGTATTTTTCAAAGTCTAAGTCATAACACCTTAGTAATCTGCAAAAGGAACAAAAAGAATGATCGTATCTGAGATAAAGAAGTTTACAGTTGGAAGGGGAATCCATCGAGTCATGGGAGTGTTAAGTGGTTTTAATTATAGGACCTGAGTGTTGACACTCAGCATTAGGTGGAATGGTTGGTGGCCCTGCATGTGGCAGGGGGGTTGGAGATTCATGATCCTTGAGGTCCCTTCCAACCCTGGCAATTCTATGATTCTGTGATTCTGTGACACTGGATAGGAAACTACTAACTATCCTTAATTTCTCACTGCAGCTCCATTCTTCCAGGCAAGAACACCAGCAAATTCAAGGGTTCTTTATATGCAGTCCTCTTTCTCTCACTGAGCTGCTGTTGAGCTGAAGGTGTTAATAAAAGAAAGATAAGCAAATAAAAACTGTACTTTCAAAAAATTTTAGGCACTTTGGAATTTAGATCGATTGGTCTATTTATTAGTACAACTCTTTCAGGAAATTAAAACACAAGAATGTTGTCTGGTCTTCCACCATTTCAGCTTTGTTTTGTTGACTATTATTAAAGCATCTTACTTTCCTTAATCTGAAAATCTGTCATCAACAATGGCAGCTATCAACTCCTTTCTTATGTTACTTTCTGTCACCTTTGATTTACAGGTGAAATATCAAGCAGACAAAGAATGGAAAAAAATGTTCAGCAAAAGATCAAAGATGCAAACATAAAGGGGAACTACTTCTCAAAGAGGATATCTAAGGACATACATTTTGTGATGAATCAGTAAAAAAAAATACAGTTTGAGTTCAGATTTTCATAAGTAATTCTTGTTTACTGTTGTGGTACTTAGGGACTTAGTGGGCAATACTGGTGATGAGTGGACGGTTGAACAGATGAACTTACAGGCCATTTCCAGCCATAATGATTCTATGATTCTTCAGTATTGCTGACAGATATGTGGAAAGTTAGTCCGGGTGTTCACACGTCTGCTTTGAAAAACCTTTCTAACCTGCATTTCTGCCTCAAGGAAACTTCTGCCGAGTTTAAGACTGCTTACAAATGTTACACAGAAGGTGCTGGAGTCAGATAAAAGAGGATTAACTCTTTCTAATATTATATTGTCAAGAGAAGCAGGGAGATTTCTGATAGGAACTTTGCCAGAACATAGATTGAAGAAATCGACTTACAGTTTCTAAAGGTCAGATTCCTATGATGGAATTTCTTGTCATCTAAGATTGGACATCTCAAAACTAAGCAGCTGTTGGGTGCCAGTTCAGCACAACCCTGAAGTGTGTACTTAAGTCTCATTAGTTTCAACTTTGCTGAGTAGAGGACTTGTGTACAAATATCTGACATCTCAATCATAAATGCAAGAGTGGTAAATATGAAAAACCTAGTCACCATTATTAAATCTGCATTAGAGATATAGGTGATATATGACACAATGTTTTATAGACCACTATAAATCCAATGCTGAGACTGTACTGAGGCAATTTAAAAGCTTGGAATACATAACTAGTATAAATAAGTTTTTGCTGTTCTATGAGCATGCTTCTTCTGAATGTTTTCAACAAAAAAGTGCTTATCAGAGGAATTTCATTAAGTAAAAAATAATTCACAGTATATGCTTGCCTAGTCAAAATAGTCAAAATGATTTGTGTCACCAGTCCTGTTGTCAACTTGATAAAATGTGAATACATGAATCCTTGGATTTTTTCCAAGCAGATTAGACATGACCAGTCATCTCTAGTTCTTAGTTTTCCTCTTATTTTCTGAAGGTTTCTTATTTTTCAAATACCACTAGAATGTGCTTTTTTCTTCTCTAGCTGCTTAGGGTTACAGCAACTCTGTACCAGAACCCTGTAATGTAATTTATCTTATTCATACTTATTTTTGGTAGGTGTTTAAAAAATTCAATTTAAATCAGCTCTATTTAAATTTTGAAAAGATGGAAAGACAAGAAAACTTGGCAGAAATTTTCTAATATTTTATTTTTTAACTATAAACTTGAGTATATTTGCCTTCTTTCCTTTTGCTGTGTCAAAACCCAAGCCTAGAAGATGTCAGTTTCTTTTTAACAATATCAGATAGACTTGTGGACTGCAGAAATGGAGATGATAAAAATTGGAATAAACTTGAACCGATGTTTTTGAAAATCACATCAGCCGTGTTTCTCCCAGACTCTAAATCCCAGCTGAGAATGATGTTTAGATACATGATTGTGTTGTGAAGTTTTAAAAATTCCAGAAATTGTATCAAGATTACTTTTAAGGGATGGTGTTGGTGGTAAATTCTATACTTTAGACTCTTCTTATTCTTCAGAAGTTTTTCCTACCATAATTTTTCTGTGAAATATCAGCAGTGTAGAATGACCACCCTCTTCTGTAAGGTTATGAGTGCAGATTGGCTCAGTCATGCACAGAGTTATTGTTAGAGAGGGCTGCTTAATGCTTTTTTTTTTTTGTCTTTAGAAAATTTCTTTCGTCCTGGACGTTAAAAACCTATTGAAACATTTGTATTCCTAGTTTTCTTTATTTTACCTGTGCCAATGAACAACACATCGTATTGCCCATCTTCAGCTTCCACTCTGTCCACAGCTATTTGCTTAAGGTTGTACTTCCCATCTGTTTTTACTAGAATTGGTCTTTTATGAACAGGCTTGATGGGCTGATACATCAATGGATGACTCCTGGCAAAATGGACAGCTTCATCAGGATAGTCTTTGGTGGTAGTGTACAGACCACCATTCACTTTGCTGGCACACTGCAAAAACAGAAAACACGGATTATCCTGAAGGCTTGCCAAGTAAAGTCTGAGACTAGTATTGTTCATAGGGGTGATGACAAGTCTACCCAAAATCTGACATTAAAATAGGCACAGAAAAACACTATAGGATCTGTGACTGTGAAGTCTATGCTTTATGCATGTATGAATTATGAATCACGAGACGCCAGTCAAGGTCTATTAATCTGCTGAGAAGAGCCTTGGCAATCCCATGTTTAGAGACTCCTTCCTGTCTGGCATAGTAAGAGCAGACTAAATATTGATGCATTCAGATTTTGGCCAAAAAAAGAATGAAAAAAGAAAGCATATGTTTCATTCTCAGATTCATATTGAAGTTGTAATCAAAATGGCCATTGACAGAGGTAGGAGAAAGGGGTTTCCTACTCCAGAAGACAGACAGTCATGTAAAGTCATCAGGGAAGTAATTTTTGAAATCAATCTCTAGTCTAATTGCTTTGTGATTGCAAAATACTTTATCATAAGATACTAAGAACGATTAAAATGATGCCAGTGGGAACAGTAATTCTTGATCTCCAGTATTTTAACAGTATTAAATTTTATTCTAATTTCTGTCTCATGATGAAAGTATTATATGTCATGCTTTAGTATGAAATACCAGTGTTTGCATTTATCAGTCTACCATTTTGTAAAGCAAATACAGTTCATGTGAATGACTGATTAAAAGAGGCTTATTCCTTTGGTCAAATGTGCAATTAGGGATAATTTAATGTGTTAAATAGAGAAGTTAACTTTAGGATTCTTTGCAAAGAATATGGTGATCCTTAACTGCACGTAAATTCTACATTTTGAGTTTGCTTCATGATGTCTAATTGGAACCATTTATGATTGAGCTGGAAATATCTCAGTAAACATTTACTTTCTCCAAATATTCATAAGGCAGTGTGGTTTTAAAAAACATTTCAAGCAAAGCCACATTAGCAGCATCTCCCTGCTTAAATTGGACTTTTTCAATCAATAAAATGTAATAAAATACTCACTGTTTACCAGAAACGGTAATTTTAAACTTGCTGCCAGCTGCAATTGACAAGAACAAACTCCTGCTCTTCTCAAATGGGGCAATGGTTGTTTCGAATTTTTGGGCTTAGCTTCAGGAAAGTATTTGTTCTGTGTTGACTTTAAAGTAATTGCATAATCAACCTAGTGATGGAGTTTTACTGGCTATTTACCATGCAGAGATAGAGCAGGAGCCTGAAGATAGGCTAAGCCTCTGCTTTCCATGCGCTGAACAGCATATCAAGTGAATAGGGATTGTCAACTTCCCTTTGTAAAGTTCCAGTCTTAGAGAGATTTAATAATCTTTTGCAGGCCTCTTGTTTTTAATTAAATAAAATCTAGATATAGATAAATAAAGTCTAGAATTGAAACAGTAGATGCAGCTATCTCTGAAATCTATGAGCACTGTTTTTGAGGTAACTGATGTCATTTTCAGAAGCATCACTATCTTAATACATTAAGTGAATTGTTGGAATAGCAACCTAGAATACTGAAAAAAAAAACAACAAAAAAACAAAAAAAAACCAACAACAACAGTGCTTTAAGGGGAATTGAGAGTAGCAAACTGTAGAATCTGTCAGACTGCAATTCTAGCAGTGACTTTCTATTTATTTAGCTCTTAGCTGTTTCTTATTCCTTATAGACTCCATTTTTTTCCCCTTTCAATAGCTGAGATGAAAGAGTGCTGAATCAAAGAGATGCCTAATAATAGGTATTTCTGGCCTCTTGTCACTGTCACCTTTGTAATGGAAAAGGTAATAGGTAGTTAGGAGTTGGACTAGATGACCTTTAAGGTCCCTTCTAATTCAAACAATTCTATGATTCTTCTTACCAATATGCTGACCTGTTCTTTGGAAACCTAAGATTATGGACTACAGTTTTCACTTCTTGCTTCTGGAACAGTGTTGAAAAGACCTCTAAGCTGTACCCTTGATGAGCAGCCAAAAATGAATTAATTTTCTGTTAGCTGGCATAGTCAGCTACTCCATCCTCTGACGTGCTCTGCAACTTATAGACAAACATGATTAACTGATTAATACTCGAGAAATACTTCTTTTGGGAAAATTATTTGCTCTCTTTTTTTATATCTACTTCAGCTCCTGTGCCTTGCCCATTAGGGATCTTTAATCTATATGAAAGAAATGTGGGTATTCAGAGCCGAGGAAGAACTGATTCAGAGTGGATCTTAATAGAGCCTTTCTGTAAATCATTGTCAACTTTGCTCAATTGCTGGCTCAATGCTCTGTCCTTCTTACCAACAAATGGTTTTCAATCTTCAGTAAATGTAATGCTATCTGTGTGCTACTGTAGCCATTAATACTGAATTCCTGCCTATTTCAGCTCCAGTTGAAACAACGTATGAGAGGTCTACTGCCTGCAGATAAAATGAATACCACTTAGAGAAGTTGTACCATATCATCTTTGTAAAATATACATGCATTTTACAATCCATGCATGATACTATCTATATTACTTGGTAAAACTGTAAAAACTGTAATTTGCTATTAAATATGTCAAATAAGAAAACTTTAATTGCTTTGAATTATACTGTTTTGCTCAAAATTTGATAAACATTTATCTGTTTTTCCATTCTGACTCAATACTGATGGTTTGCTTCAATTAACATCAAGTAATAAAAAAAAACAAACTAAAAAACAAAAAACAACCCCCCCCCCAACATTTGGTATTGATATCAGCACAATTACAGTGGTCAAGATGGTCAAATGATAGCATTTGAATCTCAGATAATCTCTTTTTTAGTATCCAGTTCTGCATTTTGACTTATTTCTCTAACTCCAGGAGAAGAAGACATAAACAGTAATTTAAAATAAGAGAGGACATGCAGTTAAAATTGTATTACAGACAGAAAATTTGTACTGGCATGGACCAGATAAGCTAATAGGCCTTTTAATCTCTCATTCCTGTGATTCGGGGATAAATGTTTACTTCTGCAAATGATTACTTTTAGTACAAAAGAGAATATTGATTTAGTTATAGAAGGAAAAACAACACTGAACATAACGCTCCAGCAACTGTTTATTCCACCGTTAAGCTCAATAGAGTGAGTCCTTAGCCTGTGAGAAGATAAAAGAGGTGAAGTGTGAAAGCTTTGTGTGGGTTTTAGCCAAACAGCTATTAGAAATGCCTTTGCATCCCACAGAGTAAAAAATCTACACAAAATGGACACTTTAAAGGGTAGAACTTCAGTGACTTCAGAAAAGCTTCTTTGTAAGCTGTATTGCCAAAAGACACTGTTCAAGAAGACATAGTGATGTTTCTCTCTGGGTTATTCTGGCATTGCCTGTTATAGGTGTTAGAGCAGGAAGGCGAAGGTGAAGGAGGCCCTGGATGTGCACAATATGTGAAATGATGATGGATGCTGCAATGCAAAGTGTACCCTCATGCACCACTGATCTCCTCACGCCTGAGGTAGGACATGAAATTCTTGGGCTAAGAATATGACAAAAATAAAAACTTCAGAAACTTATTTTCCTTCCCTTTCTTTTCCCTTTCCTTTCCCATTTCCCCTTTCCTTTTCCCTTTTCCTTCCCTTCCCTTTTCTTTTATCTTCAGGATGTTGGACCCTTAATGCAAAGTTGCTGAATTTAGGTCCCAGTAAGATTTTGAAAAATCCTGTATATTTAACTCCCCTGCTTTCCTTTGGGATCTATTTTTTTTTTAGTGCTTGATAAAACTTAATGCTTTTTTTTTTTTTTTTTTTTCCAGAAATGCTTTAATACATATGTTTAAATGAATACATCCTTGACTGTGAAGTCAGTAAGATTTTGAAGTAGTAAAATCTGCCTTTTCTTCCTAAGTTCATTTACATTAACAAAAGCATGGAAAATAGATTGTACTTACTGAACCAGGTCTAGGATAAGGTACTTTCCCTTCGTATAGAGCCCAGTGATATTCTGGTCCTTCTTTATGAGCATATGGTCCATTGAAGGCTGCTCGGACGCTTGCCATATGGTAAACACATATAGCATATCCTCTAAATATATTGCTATGAAGTAAAATTCAGAGACATTGTTAAAACAGTATGCTGTATTTGCTACATGTTATACTGGTATGATTATGTAATTAAAAAGAAGTCTCACTTCAACAGTATTAAGGGAGAAAAAATACTTTATGTTTCCTGTATGCTTTTCTTGTAACTACTATGTGCAATGTTCTTTATAAAATATTAATGTTTATAATACTTCTCTGAGAAAGCTCAGTGCTTTTATCTCCAAATTTCAGGCCGATGATCACGGTCTCTAAATGTGAGAGAGGAATGGAAGGAAACTCAACTCAGGTCTTTTCTGTCTTTGTGTCAGTGTATGGTAATGCTGGTCAGAATTATTAGATTATTATTTATTATCATAAAGACTAATCTGTGTAAATCAATCCACATATAATCTCTTTTTCCTTTCAAATTTTATACCTCTTACACTCTTAGTTCTGGAGAAGCAATTCATTATTTTTTAAAGAAGCATTAATGATTCTTGCAAAACAGTTCTTGCGCCAAGGTAAGTTTAGATTGGATGTTAGGAAACACTTCTTTACAGAAAGGGTGGTTAAACATTGGAATAGGATCCCCAGGGAGGTCATTGAGTCACCGTCCCTGGATGTGTTTAAGAGCCATTTGGATGTGGTGCTCGGAGATATGATTTAGCAGAGGGTTGTTAGAGTTAGGGTACTATGGTTAGGCTGTGGTTGGACTTGATAATCCTTGAGGTCCCTTCCAATCTGAGTAATTCTATGATTCTATGATTCTATGAAGGTGAGCACTTTACTATGCTGGCATAGAGAGCCAGCAAGAACTGATACATGGAAATTTCCTTAGAGGACTATATCTGTCTGTCTTTCTTCAAAAACAATGGAGCAATAAAGCAAAATACCAGCCATAGTATAGCTACTCCTCTCTATAAGTTACATCCTAAAGTTAAATCTCCAAGAAACAAGCTTGCACTTGGATTACACTGATGTGGAAAAGAAGGCCACCAGCAACACCACAGCTAATGATTTACATTCTGCTAAGAAGTTAATAGAAATTTAAGCTACTATCTACTTAATGCTGAATTACAGTGGAGCTCTTCAAGGAAGACAGGTGGTTTTCATAGACTGCTCTTATAACCATGCAGGAGTACGCAAATGTTGGCTCTAGAAAATTATCAGTTAGAGAAATACTAAGTTTAAAAAGTTAATAATAAGTTAAATAAGTTAGTTCATGTTTTCTGGGAAACAGATAAACTGTATCATGATGTGAGACTTCAAGCCACCATCACAATGCAGTTTTTACATTAACAAGAAAGACCACTGTGAATAAAACAGGGATTAAACTGTTTACTAAGTATTTTCTCTGTGATATTCATCATGGAGCTCTTCTGTGTGTTTGATAGCTTATTCAAACATTCCTCTACTGCTGCTATTATTTCTTCTAGTTGTTTACCTTGTAGTGCTGAAGAGGCCAAATATCACTGGATTTTTGTTATCACGAGTTTGCAGCAAAAACACATCCTCTGTAAAATATAAATGTTATTAATAGCAAACTAATTTTCTCAGTCCCAAAAGAGGCACTTCATTGTTTGTTGCGGGGGTAATCCTATTTAACTCATACATGCTATTTTTTAATGCAGATTTTAGATGCATTCTTTAAAAACAATACAATGAGTAAAGCTACAATTGATGACAACCAACTCCATATGTATGTTTTCTACTAATGAAAACATGTACAGTATAAAGTAAGACGTGTTATCATGAATGTACATATTTTTCTACAATTATTTTAAGTTTGTTGCAGTTTAGAGTATTTACCTAATTCATCAAAATGCGTATCAATTCCATTTCTCCCAGGCACAGAACAAACTAGTCTGGTTTTGAGGAAAGTGCTCCATTTATTCACAAGCATTCGCTGTCCTCCCATGTCATTCTGCATAAAAAGAAACAAACAGGGTAATTTAAATAACTCTAGAAGCACAAACATCTCCATTGAATTAGTCTCTCATATCTCTTAATGTCAAAAGCATGCATTTTCAGACCACATGTCCATTACTAGTATAACTGCTTTGGAGATGGTAAGATGCAAGCAAGATTGCACTGATCAAGTCCAGGCCTTATAAGACTTGTGGGTTTGTAAGAATTTTTAAATTCTGTATTGCATCCCTGCATAGCTTAAATATACAGTTGTAAACCTTCTCTTTTTGGTTAACTGGATGTAATGAGTACATTAACAAAACTTAGCTCTGCTTCAGGCACTCATTACAGAGTTTAATGAACACTGTTGGAATTTGAAGCCCTGAATCTATACAGCTGGTACAGCTGGAAAAGTCTGAGGCAAGTGTCTATAAGATGTTCTAACAATTTAACAATTTTTCAGCAACTTTAATTCCTACTTTACTATGGCTGACACTTCTTTTCTTTTCTTTTCTTTTCTTTTCTTTTCTTTTCTTTTCTTTTCTTTTCTTTTCTTTTCTTTTCTTTTTTTCTTCTCTTCTCTTCTCTTCTCTTCTCTTCTCTTCTCTTCTCTTCTCTTCTCTTCTCTTCTCTTCTTTCTCTTTTTCTCTTGGGGTTGTTAATAAAATGAAGCATTTAACTCAGCAATCAGACTTTGTAACTTTAAATAGCATTCTCAGTATGTATGGCCTGATATTCAGGTAGGTTGTGTAAGTGCATACTGAAGGTTCTGTAAGAGGCTTGCTAAATTCCTCTCATAGCTTTATACTACTGAAATTAATGGATTTCCTCATCTTCACTCTGACATCTTAAAAAAACAGTAAAATCCATTTTCCTTAGAAAAGAAGATACATACAGGATAGATGCCTCTGAGTTGTAAAACCTGTTACAACACAAATGAAAATGTAAAAGCTGATAAAAAGGCCAGTTCTCAAATCACTAGCTAGCTCTTGACTTTTTATATTCATGAAATCAAATTTGAACTACAGCATACAGAGCGAAGGCTGTTAAGGTAATGTCTGGATGATAAATCATTTGAAGTTTTGGACATGTGGAGGAGAAAGATCTGGGATTTTGGTCTAACCCTTGGCTAGAGATAAGACATTCAGGTCAATATATTTCAGACTAGAGGGAGTTATCAAAATAATCTATTCTGACATATACCAGAACATAGGGCAAAGAATTTGGCTTCAGGCCTTGATGCCTTGTTGAATTCAGAAAGCCAACTGCCTATGAGAATGATAATGTCTTAGGCCCTATTTGGTACTCTGTATACTCTGTTTCAAGTTATATATGGACACATTTAAAGACATTTTAACAATTAGTATGTTGGTGGGCATATGTGACGCACAGTATACTTTGGGTTGAAGGAACATTTTTTATCTTGTATCTTGTTCTTTGCCCATTAGTTTTAGGAAATTATCTCCCACGGTTAGGAAGGAACACAGTTTATTTCAGAAATGAAGTTGGATGCTAAGAAATAAACTTCTCACTCTTTTCTAGGCAATTCAATCCTTTGTTCCAGTTTCCTTTTTATGCACATTCTTCCTTATAGGATGTTAAGAGGAGCAGGAATTACATATTAAATAAAAGCAATTAGCTATTATTTAGAAAACACTCTATAGATGCATCAGAAAGATATTTGAAATTTACAGAATCCCAAAATGACAGAACCATGAATTTGGCAGGGACTTTTGGATATTTTTTAGTCCAACTGGCCTGCTAAATTGGGTCATCTACAGAAAGTCACTCAGGGCCATAATCAGATGGGTTTTGAATATCTCCAAGGACAGACATTCCACAACCTCTCTGTGCAACCATTCTAATACAATAAAAAAGTGATTTCTTATGGTCAGATAGAATATGAATGTTTCAGTCCGTGCCCATTGCCTCTTGTCCTGTCGTACTGGCTACAAAAGGATATCTGGTTGGATAGCTGTCAACCCTGCATAAATGCAATTGAGTCAAGTCTGCACCATGCTGACAGAGTAGAAAAGTGAGAGGAAACATCAGAGTGAACTTGTGGCTGGGCTGGTCCTGTCAACAGAAATATGAGGGGACATCAGTTAATGTCAGCTGTGAGAAATACAGAAGTGTTAGGGACAATGGAGCCTTGATTTGAATTGAGAATCTATGATGGTAAATGAGTCCTGTGGGGAACTGTTCTTACTGCTATCACATATCAGCTCAAAGAGAAATGGAAATGAATAATAGGGTGTCTGAACTTTATTTTCATCTCTCAAGGAAAATTTGTTTCAAGACCAAATTTTAGGCTATTTTTGATTTTTCTAATACTTGAGGACATTGAGAAGCAGGGTTTTCAGTCAAACCTATAATCTCCTGTACATTATCAGATACTATATTGCTTGGGAGATAAGGAAAAAAGAAAGGAAAATACTTTTTTTTTTTTTCCCCATTCTGCTGGGGTATCAGAAAAAGGTTCTTACCACACACACACGTCCCACTCTGGTGTAAATGGCATGAGTGCTTGTCTCAGCTTCTAAAGCTTTTTCGGTAAAGAAGAAATACACTTTGTTATCGTCGTGGTCTTCATTGTCAGGAATCATGTATGAGCCAACAAACT